ATGTGGTATGATTTGATTCCTCTGCTAAAAAACGTGATTCTTCACATGATGCCACAAACATCACAAACAAGAAAAATGGAGAGGTCCATCTCGGTCAGATCCTGGTTTGTCCAAGAGCTGTATATGACCCAAAAGCCTGAGCTTAAGACAGAAATTCCAATTTTAGACATAACTAGCTGATTAAGACATTTAAAGCAAAAATATAGCCATTTTATTTGCAATCTAAAGTGACTAGTAGACAAAATAGTGATGAATGTAAAAAAAAAAATGATGTTTTCTTTGGGGACTATTTTGTGGCATAGTGCCCCGCAGGTATCTTTTTACCATTAATATGTCTAAAAGATATGTTTTGGGTCAACAGACTAATGTAAAACAATGCCTCAGGCATCGTACCACAGCTGTGAACAATTCTGATGTGGCAAGTTTCTCTAGAACAGAGCATTTCACATCAAACCACTCTGACTTTGTTTACTACGACAGCGTTTTAGGGCCACTGTAAATAAAAATAAAAATAGTAGCCTTCGAAAATAAAATCATACTATTTTGAGAAAAAAGTTGTAATATTTTGAGAAAAACAAGTTGTAATATTTCAAGAAAAAAGTCGTTCTATTTAGAGAAAAAAACAATATTTAGAGAAAAGAAGTCGTAGAATTACGACAAAGTGGCATTAATACCAGGAAATATTGTGGCCAAAGGCTTTGCAAGGGGAAGGCAGCACCTCCTCGTGTTAAATGAGGGGCGGTGAGTTGGTGGAGTTCTACTTTCATATCGATTCACCCATAAAGAAACACTCAGTCTCCCTGTTTCTCCTGCACATCAGCACCAGCCTGAGATTCGTATAAGAACCGGCTGAAACAGCTGAGCAGGAAACTGTTTATCTAGAATAAAGAGCCAGACGGACTCGGAGGAAACTGTCTGTCTGTGTTGTTGAAGGAGAATCTCAGGCAGGGTCGTCTACACGGCTATCGGGGCTACATCTCCCCCCATTCAAAGAGGGCATGAAGTCTCACAGACAGTGAGAATGGCAATCAAAATGATCCACAAGCAGACAGAAGTGAGTGGAACTCTGGCACCAGTGCAGCAACCGAGACCCCAACACGTTATGGCAGCCCCCCTACAGTTAGGCCACTTCATCTTCTATATTACGACTTTTTTTCTCGAAATATTGACTTTATTCTCGAAATATTGTGACTTTATTCTTGAAATATTACAACTTTATTCTAGAAAAAAATATGATTTTTTTCTCCAAATATTACAACTTTAATTTTGAAGTCTACTATTTTTATTTTTATTAACAGTGACCCTAAAATGCTGTCGTAGTTTACATCTCAATGAGTAAATTAGGCAGAAATTTGGTGGAAGAATTGGTGGAATTCCTGGTTAAACTGGTTAAGTTTAAGTAGTTGGTAGACCAGCTAAAACATTAAAACATACCCTATGTTGGTCAACCAACTAGCTCGAACTGGCCAAAATGTTTTCTCACCAGGGTCATTTCTGAATTTAGAAGTGTAATTAGCCATTTTACAAATGTAATCTGGTAGTTCAAGATTCAACAAACAGGTTTTAGTCTACAGCAATAGATCATTCAGCAATGGCCACAGATATTTAATGAATAGCAGAATGTTTTGTTTTTAATAATCCAGAATTGATGTATCTATCCTAACCATTTTACAGTAGCTATTTATGTGGCTTGGTTAATCAGATTTAACAATCAGAACTATTTCTTTTATTAACAACATTCTAATATTACTACATAATAAAAGTCTTAAAACTTTTTGAAGCTGTAAAATTACTCAACAGAATGAATAATCTAAGAGAAAATGTATTCCACCTGCACATCATCTGAAAATAGAGACCTTCCACTGACTGATATAGAGTTGTGGTTGGAAATGGAAGATAAGAGTAAAAGAACTGTCATCCATTTCAGTCATTCTGAATTGAGACAGGTAATGGACGATAAGGAAAGTCATCAGACCTGCCAGTAAAGGAGATGTGATTTGTTCAGGGTAAATGACCCCCACATTAGGCTGTACAAAGTTACTTTTTTCAGTGAATTGCTTTGCATCAACTTTTCTGGAAACATGCTGTGAATGCAAATGTGGCTCATGGGTATGGATGTGCGATTCCCCCTAAAAACAGAAGGGGTTCAAAAATGGCATGCACTGGGCCAACTGCAGGTGTGTTTTGGTGCATAGTGGTGCATCAGTGTAGCACTGCATTGGAGTTACTGACCACAATGTCTTATAAACAACTTTGCAATATCAGTACTTAAAAAATCACCATATTCAACACTGTGAAAACTATAAAAAGTTAGTATGATCTGTTACATGATGATACAGTTAGTTTGAAGAGTGGATGTCACTTTATTTAGAAAGCCCCCAATAGATTATCCACAGATGTTCAATTTATTAGGATTATTTCATTATACAGCTGGGATAGGCTCCAGCACCCCACTGCGACCCAGAAGGATAAGCGGTTTAGATGATGTATGTATATATGTATGTATTTCATTATTGTTTAGTGTTTCTGTTGAAAGTCAGCTGATTCTCAACAATGTAAGAATTAGGCCTAGGATTAGTACCAGGGATAGGCAGTGTTATCACTGCTTATTATGATTTATTAAAGTGTTTATGGCCTAACTAATAACCCACACTAGTCTTATTGTAACGTGGGACCCACAAGTACATAATATTAGTGCTGAGAACTCTATATAATGCATAAATTGAACCATATTGTTCTCATATTGTTGGCAATCATGAAAAAAAGTACTTTTTATTACCTTCCATTTATTCCATCTAACCCCAGAATAGCACCCACTTAGCTACACTATAATTTACAAAGCAAGTAGTTGGCAGCAGTTATATAAAAATAATAGCTGTAGCATGGTGAACATGTTTAAGTCAGGCTGACACTCTGATTTGGGTTATTCTGTAGAAAATTATGTTTGGACGACCTACAGCCTGATTTAATAAGACGATAAGGGCTCCTAATCAACTTGGGAGAGTACAATTAATTTCCCGTCGTCTGGCAATTTTCTACCAATAATGTCTAAAACAGTGATCACTGAGGTGTTCTGTTTGCATACATTATCACTTTGCCTCCCTCCTGCTTCATTAACTTCTAGAAAGAATAAAAAGTCTACAAAGGACAAATAAATCAAAAGACAGGATGAGTAACTGTACCAAATGGGAAATCCAAATTTGTGATTCCAAGAAAGGCTTCAGAGGGTTTTGAGCTGATAATGAAGACTACAGGTCAGGGTCATTTCTGAACATCTGGGGCTCAAAGCAACATCCTACAAGTGCAAACCCTGCCAACCTCAGCCATATCTTTACTATGCAAGTATGAAAAACAATTACTTCACTGATTTAGATCAGGGAAAAAGTGGAAATGCTCAGAGAAACATGATGAAGTAATAATTAACTATAGTAACATGCAAAAAATCTGAACCTTCCCAGTCAAACTACATGTTTTGTTTATAAGTGAAAATATGTGAACACATTCTCTACACGGAACTTCAATATGGCATTTTTCTGCAAACTTTGGTACACGAAGTCTACATATTTACTGAATTTGAACATATTGGAAAAATAAAACAAAAATATAAAATGGCCTCGGTCATAGGATGCCACCTGTGCCACCAAACAGTACATTAAATTTCTGCCCTGGTAAAGCTGCCCCAGTACACTGTAAGTGCTACTTTTGTGAAATAGTAATGTCTAAGAGCAACAACAGCTCAGCAATGAAGTGATAAACCATGCAAAAACTCACAGAGTAGAGTTGCAAGGTGACATCGCTCACTACAGAGTTCCAAACTGCCCCTGGAAGCAACACTAGTCCAAGAACTGTGCATCGGGAATTTCACGAAATGGGTTTCCATGGCCGAGCAGATGTACGTGAACCTAAGATCACTATGTGCAATGCCAAGCGTTGGCTGGAGTGGTAAAGCCCACCGCCACCAGACACTTTACTGTCTGGCACTCTCATGTATGTGGGGGGGCTGATATAGGTGTGATGGTCAGGTGTCCACATACTTTTGGCCATATGTTTTATGTTAAATTCAGCAAATAAGCACTAATTATGTATCAACATTTGCAAATGTGTGTTCCCTGTAGAGGATGAACCTTTGAATTTAGAAACCAAAAACAACTAAATAATCTACATAAGCTAAATATGTAAATAATGATTAACCCTCTACTATATGGATTAAGAGAACAATTTAAAAAATGATCCAATTTCACTTTTCTTGCATAGAATCGACATGAATATTGAATTCAAATTTTTTTTTTTTAAATAATAATGTGCACAGGGGTGCTTTTGGTGTATGTTGCCTTGAGGCAACATTGTGCGACAATGGGATGAAATGATATGGATCTGTGTTCCCTGAAGTGGTGAGACCTGGCTTGTGGCTGGCTAACTCCATTCCACTGTTGCACAATGTTGCTTCTAGGCAACAAACATATTTCTGCAAATTTGCATAACTAAAAAATAATACTGAATGTTAAAAACGAGGTTTAAAAGTGCCCACGAAGAGATAGTATGACCTAATACATGCTCTTTTACTGACTGCCCATTATTGTTAACCTGTCAGTGTCCTTAAATATGTATAAAGCTATTGTAAAAGGAAGAAAATGTTTGTTGGCCTAAGGGAACATTGTGCAATAGATGATTAAAATAAAAGTGGCTGAGTTATTCTTAGGTTATATAAGTGTACAGTAAACCTTTGGACATGTCAGTGGATCATAGCCACTTAAGGGGTTAAGTGACCTTTGCATTGTTATTGCTTTCTTGAAATTTTGGAAGAAAAGTGATAATGTGTCAATCGCTTATATAACTTTTCAAATGTTTCTCTTTTCTAAATAATTTACTGCCATCCTAAAGAACGTTTATGGCAAAGTCCATGTAATCCAAAGTTTCTCGGGGTTATCTAACAGCAATATTTGCACAACTACTTTAAAGGTTTCACACAGAGAGAGAGAGACAGAGGCAGAGAAACATACCAGTAAGGTTTTTGAGGCCGAGCTGCCGGAGGCCGAAGTAGCCGTCTCGCCTGTAGTTGAGGAAGATGGCCAGAGCATAGCGGCCTTCGTATAGTTTGGTGCCACGAATGATCCGCAGGTTCTCCAGAGGCAGATAGTCAAACTGGTTCAGAGCCACCAGAACATAACCCGTCACCTCCCGGATCGACTGCGGAAAAATTACACAAAAAAGAAAGATGTGGATTTGGAATTCAATTCAAACACACAATAACACTGAGCTTCAGTCTTAGCACACAGATTAAGATAAGGCAAAAGATGCCCAGCAGAGTTACCCTTCACTCAGTACTATGGTCATGAGAAAAATAGAGATGCTTTGCCATCCACCTCCTATCTTTTACTTCCACTCAGTGACCACTTTATAAGCTCTATTTAGCTTATCTTAACTATACACTGATCAGGCATAACATTATGACCACCTCCTTGTTTCTACATTGTCCATTTTATCAGCCCCACTTACTATATAGGTGCACTTTGTAGTTCTACAGTTACAGACTGTAGTCCATCTGTTTCTCTGCATACTTTGTTAGCCCCCTTTTTCCCTGTTCTTCAGTGGTCAGGACCCCCATGGACCCTCACAGAGCAGGTACTATTTGGGTGGTGGATCATTCTCAGCACTACCGTTGTTGTGCTGGTACGAGTGGATCAGACACAGCAGTGCTGCTGGAGTTTTTAAACACTATGTCCACTCACTGTCCACTCTATTAGACACTCCTACCTTGTCAGTCCACCTTGTAGATGTAAAGTCAGAGATGATAGCTCATCTGCTGCTGCACAGTTTGTGCTGGTCATCCTCTAGTCCTTCCTCTAGGACACTGTTGGCTGGATATTTTTGGTTGGTGGACTATTCTCAGTCCAGCAGTGACACTGAGGTGTTTAAATACTCCAGCAGCACTGCTGTGTCTGAGCAAAACGGAGAAAAAAATGTCTTGAAAAGTGTTTGTAGGAATCAATATCTAGCAGTCTGTAAAAGGCAGCAATAACCCCCCAGTGCAAAACAGTAAAAGACCCTTGCTCTTCAACTTATCGCTACCAAAGCTTGCATGTAAAAGCTATAAAAAGGCCAATAAAGGCAGGTGGAAGCTACCACTGATGCACATTCACTGGGTCACACCACAGTGGATTTCTGGCTGCTCTGAAAGGCTGCTGAATTTGCAAGACGTCTGGAAAGCAAGGTAGTGATTTGAAGAGCTGCAGGCGAATTTCATCTTTATGTCATTGTGTACAACAAAGTTTTCAGTTCACGCTGCACTGGTACCTGTAGATGATCCACCTATAGCTATGCAGGAGACAAATATACCAAGGCCTTACCTTAGCTGTATGACCAATAGCGCACAACCATTTTTTGTTTATTTATTTATTTTTATTTTGTATTTTTTTTTTCAAAATTACAGTTCCTCTTCAAAATCGACGGTATGTGTCTACTGTTGATGGAATTATTGATCATTCCACTCCTGTATTCTCCAAACATTATGTGCTGAATTACTGCCAAAGGTTGTCAAACATTCTACATTTCACTCAAATGAACAAATTCACAATGTTAAATTGTTATGAAGACAATTTGCCTTGAAAAACTTTGTATTAGAAAAGAACGCAAAATAGAGGAATTCAAAATAGTCTCAGACCATTAGATCCCACTGAAAACGTTGATGCATTGGTCACTTTATTAGGCACGTCTACCTCGTGCCTACATCCATTGTCCATTTTATCAGGTTCTCATAGAATACAGATTTTATTCCATCTGTCCTTTTGCATAATTTACCCTCTTTATGTTGCTCATCAAGGGTCAAGACCCACAAAGTGCCACTGAGCAGGTACCATTTGGGTGATGAAGAATTTTCAGCACTGCAGAACAATCTGTAACTGCAAAGCTATTAAAGTGAACCCATCTAGTAAGTGGACCTGTTGAAATGGACAAAGCGAAACACAGGTGTAGATGCAAGGTGTATTTAATAAAGTTGCCAAAGAGTGTAGATATAAATAGAGCTACCTGGGTCAACTTCATGTAACACATTAATTAAACCACATTGTCTCCACATTGTTGGCACTCATGAAAGAAGTCCACCATCTCCTAAAGTTGAACAGAAGTTCCAGGCAATAATTACTGTTGAATTTTATGTCCTACTATAGTTGACAATAGGCAGAAACTACAATTCCCTACATCCTCTTCTGACACCATGCACAATGCATGGGGAAATTAGAATGCTGGAGTGTGTAATTACTAAAATTATACCTTGCAGTTTCTCAGCTTATTAAGTAAGAAGTGGTGTGGTGTCAAATCGCATGCATTCTACAAAAATAACCTCATGTTTTGTCTGCATAACAATACAAAAGTAATTGATAGGTGGCGTTTCTACAAAGGCTTAGACTCTTCAGGCTAATAATGGGCCTGAGAGGCAAGAGCACTGAAGAAAAGTTCCTCTACCTGTCAACTCTGAACGAAGGTGAGAGCAGTTGACCAAAATTATTGACCAGAAAAGTACATGTATTTTAAATGTTAAATCCTAGAAGTTGCAGTTAGTGCTGCTGAGAACAAAAGCAGTCTCTAATTTGATATCAATTTATCAATTTCTCATTCGTAACTAATTACAACATTCATAGCTAATTAGCTAATTTAAAAAATTGCAAGTAGAAAAGAAAATATTTCATTATAATTTGTATTTTGAAAGTTTGCCCTGTGGTAGTTGTTTGTTGAAACTCAAACAAATGTAAAAAGTTGAGAAATGCAAACTCAAACTAGTCAATACAGAAAGCAAAGTGAATGTAAAAGCTATTCATTTTTCATTGTTAGTTAAATAGTTATAACTTTTTTATTACCAATTTATAACTATGTAATTAAGTGTGAGTTTGTAACTACATTTAAATGCCATGTTGAAATGTCAGTAATAACTCGACTGTGGATGTTTAAAGAAGTCTTACTTAAAGAAATAGAAAGCACAATGTTTTTAATCTGTTTGGCTCAAGAAATACAACCCCAAATTCAAAATGGGCTGATATTAAAAAAAGAAAAAACAGTAAAATTTGTCAGTTTTGACATTTGATATGTTGTCTTTGTAGCATTGTAATTTAAATATATGGTTTCTATGATTAGCATATCATTGCATTCTATTTTTATTTACATTCTGCACAGCGTCCCAACTTTTTTGGAAATGGAGTTGTAATATAAACTATTTCTCATTCGTAGCTAATTAAAACAAGCATAGAAAATTATGTGGAACGTGCATATGCAATACTTTCCATACATACTGCATTTGTTTTTGCAAGCAAAAGAGGAAATATTTTATTAGGATTTAAATTTTGAAAGTTGGCCATGTAGTTGTTGTTTGTTGAAACTGACACAAATGGAAAAAGTTGAGAAATGCAAACTTGAACTACCCAGTAGAGAATGCAAAGCAAATGTAAATGCAATTCATTTTTCATGGTTAGTTAAATAGTTATAACTTTTTTATTATCAAGTTATAACTATGTAATTAAATATGTGAGTTTGTAATTACATTTAAATGCCATGTCAAAATGACAGTAATAACCTGACTGTGGATGTTTAAAGAAGTCTTACTCCTTAAAAAATAGAAAGCATAATGTTTTTAATCTGTTTGGCTTCAGAAATATATCCCTTTGTCCCCTGTATTAGAAAACACCAACTATCTGCAAGTTATTTGCATATCCCCACCTCAAATAGAGGCATACAACTTCCAGAAAATGCTCAATGTTTTGCTAGCAAGGTCAGAATATTACTAAAAAAGGCTAACTGTGGCACCAGCTACCAAAAATCAGCAGAAATAAGAGGCTGCCCTTCATTTACAACAGTAATATAGCAGTCAGTGTCAGCCTTTATGCTGTGAGTTCTCCCAGCCAGTCAGATGTCTAATGAATATGTATAACTGCATGTCTAACATCCTCTAAAAACAGCATGTGCAATACAAGCAGACAAATAACTTGAATACATAAGAGCATTTTGTTTTGAATGAAAAATTAGAAATGTTGAACAGACCACAAGAACAGATTAAATTTAATTACTGCATAACAAATGAAAGGACTTTAAAGTCACTTCAGTGAATTAAATGGCTGAGCTTTGCAAAGCAAGGCACGTACAAGTGGGAACCAAACAATGACCCAATAGAAATGACAACAGGTATTAGGATGACAATACGAAACAAAAACACTGACACTCAATAGCAGAGACTAGTAATAATGCAGCGACTGACTGAAGCTCAAGAGGAAATAATGAGAGCAAAAGATAAAAATGTAAAAGGAACAGCAAAATTAGCATAATTAGGCTAAACAACAGAAGAAGAGAGACTGACAGAAAAGTTAAGACGTTTACTTAAAAAATAATAAAACTGTTATGGGACGGAAGAGAGGCGGACCCAAGTGCAGAGAGGAAAGTCCGTGAGAAAGGGTCTTAAATGAATTGAATCAAGTGAATTGAGTGCTTGTGGCTCAGAGACAGGCTCAAACCGCCGATGTACTGATTGGTGGTCCAAGGAGTTAAATGGCGGGAAAAGGCCAAGAAAGGTGACGCTGAAAGCAGTGTGCTCAAACAAAGGCTGAGATAGAAAAGTAAAAATAAAAGATAATGAGACAACAAAAGACACTTCCTCTGTGATTATGAGAGGAAGATCAGCGTCATGTTTCACCTGTTACTTTTGTTTGGCTTGGAGCCATTCCTTGTTTAAGCCTTCTTTTTGGGCTTTTAAGTAGATTTGGGGGAATTTTTTCTCTTTTGTTTTTTCCAGCCTTCTTTTCAGATGCCAGGTTGGGCCTAAGCAGCCCGAGGGCTTCTGGGAATTGGAGTTCTGCTCTGCTGGCGGCCGGCGGCACAGGCTGGGCCTTTACAAAAATACATTGCTTCAGCTCAGTAAAGGATTGTTAATGAGATTTGCTGGATGAGGAATGTGGATGCAGGTAAAGCACTAAAATGTGCAGAGCAGTGGGCAGTCCAGGACCAGGGTTGGGAGCCACTGAGTTAAGGGACATCATCATAATGTCCGAAACTGGCCTGAGCTTAAGAAGTTTCTTTTTGAAACTGACCCGAATTGGCCCATCATCACCTGCGCTCACATTTTTTAAGGACAGCGCCAGTGGAACTACCAAGTAGTGAATATAATAGCCATCATCAGAATATGGATAAATAAAGAAAATACATAAGTT